GTGCTATCTTCTAAGAATAAAACAAACAAAAGGCTAAAGGGTCTTGCCTCCTTGCTGGCAAAGGATTTCACATTGCCAATGACCTGGCGATGTCAAAAGAAGCCATCGGCCCCGCAATGCAGCGTTGAGTATGGGAGATCAAGGATCATCAAGGCACATTGACACTGCTTTTGTGAAGCGTTCCTTGTTCCAAAGAATGAGGGCTCGGAATTGAATAGTATCGTTCGGGACAGCAATCACGAACAAGAAGAACACTTTCAATACGAGTCTTGAGTAGACTTCATCTTCAAGCCGTAGACAATTTCCAAACATGGGACTCTCATGAGACCGTGTAGATCTTGCCGAAGTGTCTTTACAAAACAGCGAACTGTGCATCTCCTGAGCAACACGCGTAGCGGTGGTCCTCACCGGTCTGTGTGCTGCAGTAGAAGGACACGCCAGCACCACCTGGATACGGCGCTGCACAATGGTCCAAACCCTTTGCCTGGAAACCGTTTCAGAGCAGAAGCAATGAATGCTGTATTTTTATTATATATAGAGATAGCATCATTAAATGCCAATTGAACGTATTTGCCCCCAATTCAGATGGGTCACTCTTGTTCTCCAAGGTGATGCAGAAGTCTGTGGCTTCCTCAGCAAAAGCATTGGGCATGGCGGGCATGGTTGATGTTGATCCTCACTGGAGCTCTCTGTCTCGGGCATATTCTTGGCCGCCCTCTTCACCCTCCACGTCAGCTGTTGGGTCGAAAGGGCTCGTAAGTTGCCATTCGACTTTGACCTTCAGGCTGCAGTGCACCACAAGTGGTGGAATGAAGCTGTTCGCTTGCCACAAGGAAAATCTATACTGCCCCTGAGATTCCAACCAACTTGCCATCAATCTCGCGTTCTAAGTGCATGTTCACATCTCCCTGCACACCATGTGTCTTTGGTCAAAGACCAGCATTGAAGAGACAAGACTTGTGATGAGACTCCGACACATGGAATGACAATTCCTCAATTACAATTGATTCAACCGTCTTGCACAAGCTGCATGCTTGACCTCAGCCTCCACCAATTTGAAGTCTGTCGAATCAATGAATTTCTTGATTTCCTCGGCCGAGTCTTCGAGGTCTTCTGTGTCTATGCTTTGAAGCATGCAATCTGGTTAAGCCTTGGCTTGCTGGTACTGCTCCTGGCAAAAAAGCCATAGGTCCCCGTCAATTCATTTCCAAGCGAGCTGTTTATATAATGACTCTTTGGCAATGTCTTGCTTGCTGCATCCATTTTTCTATGAAGCAATCTGAGAATTCCAAATACGTCTCGTGCTTACATACACAGTGAATGCACTCCTTCTCGTGGCTAATCTCTGCGGCTAGATCTTTGGCCTCGACACGCTTGATGCATCAGTGTCACGAGATTGGAAGGGCGGCTTTGGTATCACTTCAGGTATGGCTTAGGTCGCTACCACTTTGGCTGCGGAAGTCAATGAGAAACACCTGCTCTGGTCCATCTAGAGATTGGTTAAGTGCTGGTAATCCGCAGCCTCTGCTGAACTGGACAGAGAAGAGGTCGTAGAGCCTGTTGTCTCAAGCCTCGTGCTGGGCGACTAGGCCGCTACAAAGCCTTCAAACCACTGCAACGTCCCACCTGCTGTCTTGGGCGCCAAGTTCCGGCAGGCTTGCAAAACTCTGGGCAACATCCTTACAACAGTGCTACCCGTTGCATACCAGCAATTTCTGCTAAGCCGGAGACCTTTCCCAGTCGTGAACTCATAAGAATCAAAGCAAGCATCGCATGATCCATTACGGATCATAATGGTGATGTGTGAAGTGGTGAGTCTTTTGTCATGATGATGTAACCTGTGAAAATGCCATTTAGGGAGAAATCTCACCTCACCACTCCATCACGGAATCTTTCTTCCATCTCCTACGTGGGCTTCCTAGGTCCTAAGTAGCAAGCGTACACTTCTGTCTCCTCGTGGCGCAATTGGCTTCTCAGTGCCACTTAGCAGCTTGAAACAGGTGCAAACATGACTTCGTGTCCCTCGATGCAGTGCACAAGTGTGCCCAGGCAAGGTTGTGCCACCACAGTGTGGCAGGGCAAACATGAGATGCAGCTGCCAATGTGACTGCAAATATCTGATATATCTGCAAATGTCAATCGTCCACTGAGCATTTCGATGAATTCGGGACATTGTCATTTGGATCTTATCCTTGTAGTCACTAGCCGTCTTTTTGCGTACTTTTGCGGATCCCATGTGAAGCTCTGATTCCGAGATACTTGTCCATTAAAGAAAATTTGAGGAGAACTAATTATCTTTTGTGTGGGGGAGAAAGGTATTGTTGAGGAAAACAAAACACACGACCTTTGCATCCGAGAGACTCTGACAAGCGTTGTCGCACTGTGCCGATTCCACCCGTGAGCAAAACTGCTGAAAGTGAGCGGACACATTCGCATCGTCGGCCACCAACGGTTTCGGCTCGTGAGCGCTCGCAACCTCTTGCGCCCGCTCGCGCCCGCTTGCGCCATCGCGTGACGGTCGTTTTCCGTGTTGTGTTCGCCCCTTAAGACTCACAGACTCACAGCCGATGTTAGCTCCAAAGCAGACCAAGCAGAGCTTGACATCGCGGTCATGTACCAAACACGACCAACCCAGACTGTCACGGATGCGTAAAATCCTTTGACAGTCGTGAAACTACCCACCAGCCCCGGTGTCTAGTGGGTGATGTGTCAGCCCTCCACCCACTTCCGGAAGAGGCGGCTGCAACCGCTGCTGGCAGGAGAAGGTATGAACATCATGGGCTTGGGATGACTCAAGTGACTCATGAACTGTCCATGTTCTAGAAAGTACATCGAGCTCTTCCAAAGCCGAAGATGTTACGTCAAAAGGATGGCCACGCGCTGTACGCCACGTGCTGGTTGAAACCCAGAAATCGGCCCCAACTATGGTGAAGCAACTTCGCTAGCAACTTCGCAAGCGACTTCACCTGGTTCGCCTTCGCTCAACACGTCGGCCTTTCTCTTCACCGCCGCCTTGTCCTCGACCGGACCTCAAGAAGCATTAAAAACTAAAAACACAAAGTTTTCTAAGCTAAAGGATGCTGAAGGTAAGAAGAGAACCGATGTTCCTTTTAAGACTTATTGATTGTAGTTTCTATTCCGACATCAAGGTTGCAAACCATGCCCGCCTCCCACCCAAGCAGGCTTTCTGAGGGCTGCTGGTGGTGTAGTATGCTGGTTGCATTCACCAGGTACATGTTGAGTCACACGGATTAAAGCATGCTTCTAATCTAGCAACTCTGATGCATTAGAATCGTCAGAGGAGGTGCTTTCTGCGTCGGGAAAACATGTGGGGCATAATCGCGCAAGTGAATTATCGGCAACATCAGGCGGGCGGGAAGTCTTGGCGTTGGTTTCCCGACCAATTGGCCATCCGCACGCAATCTTGCATTGCATGGGTGATTGATCACGTCTGACCTTCGCCGCGTGTCTACACCCGGTCGCAATATTGTCTTTTGTCCAGGTGTTCAACAATCACCTGGCCGTCCAAAGCTACGCTGACTCCTTCTAGCTCTTCATTCACCTATATGACATGTCCACCTCAAGTCCGTCAGCCTTCTGCGCCAGGAGTTGTCTGTCACGTTTTCATTTCTTGATCTCGTCTGCTAACTCATCGAGATCCGCCCGGAACATCCAGAAAACTCTGATTGTCTATCGCCTGACTGACCGCTCGGACCGCTCTCACCAACTGTAGAACGCACCTACCTATCAACTTCTTTGCGCAACCCCCCACAGGTGATTCAGCTATGTAGGCGAGCACAGCTTCTCATCCCATCGACCAAGCAGCTGGATTGTGATCGGGCCCATCTCATGACAAACCAATCCCGGGCTCCCGTGATCCTGGGGGATTGCACGACAACTCAAGCTCCTGGCTTGGGCTTGAACATCAACTTCTGGAACTAGGGTAGGGCAAGCATCGACACCTTGCCTTCCCCCCAATGCATTGTTCCACGGCCTGCCGTTCATTGCGCAACTGTCGCAGCTTATGGGCCGTGAGTGCCAAGGGAGTCGGGGTGGACCACAACCGCTTAGGCCCGCAAAGGGGCCAGGAGTCTATGGCCTGAAGAACTTGAAGCCTGAAGACAAACGCAAAGTGCGTGAAGGAAACGCGCTTGCAGGTGAAAAGGTACTGCACGGGAGGTGAAAGCACGCTTGCAACACGCAGTGACAAATTCAACTTGTACCCCTCCCAGACACCCTGGTCCAGAAGACCATGCATCTCACTGATCTCGCGGTCCATAGTCTACGTTGAAGCCATGTTCAGCCAAGTATATCAAGTCTTGCCACCTCCAGCCCCACTGACTGTATCTGAAGCAGAGGCTGTTGAACTGTTGAATTTTGTTTCAAGTCCGTCTCAACTACCTTTGCACCAAGCTGTTGTCCAGACTCCTCACGCAGCTCGTTGTCGCTAGTGTGGAGGCTTCTCGCCCCCTTTGCCTTTCTTGAACCCACCCTCCTTGCCTCCTTTGTTGTTTGCCCTTGCCGCTCTCCTCAGGAGTCCTGGCTCCGGCATCCCCTGATGAGGGCACACCGGTGAAGGGTGTGTTCCAAGGCACCTGTCACACTGATGTACAGTGTTCCATACTGCGGGGGCACCACTGGCCTTTTATTGCGTCTGAACAAGCGCCGCTGTTGAACTCTCCACACAACTCGTACCCTGTACGATTCGTGATGTATTTGCCATCTGCATTGAATCGTTCAACCTGCCGCCTGTTCTGCAGGGCTTCCTGACTCTTCTCTGTCCGGTCTTCGTATCACCCTCAACCGCTTCAACAGAGTTTGTGATCTTGCTCAACAGCAGAAAGGCCGGCTCGTTCACTTCGGTGTCTTCACACGCCTTTCCCCCCCACCCCCTCCAGTTGACGTATCGGGGTTTGAAGGAATCTGGGGTGGGTGCAATGGCTTGAGCCAACATAGGCACCATTGCACACTCACCCACCCAACCACCCAACGGACATGTTACACTCACAACTAGCTGTTACCCGTACGTTCCACAATGGAGCTTCAAAGGAAGCTCAAACGAATTGCCAGCCAACCGTAGCTCCGTCTCAGGCAGTCACTGTCTTTGGGTCCAGGAGGACCTGTGCCAAATTTCACAAATTGCTTCATGCCTACTCGAATTGAACAAATGAAAACACTATACAGTATAAGTCACTCTAACAAGATGTTGTTGTTCTCTTTATGGCCTTTCGTCCGACGTCGTGGACGCGGCTGTGGCAATGGCTGTGGCAATGCCACCGCACGCTGCAGCTCGGGTGGCCTTTCCACTGTAATGGCCTTAGCAAGGACGTAGCGAAGAAAACGCATGGTTCAACACAGGAAAAAGAAGTCTTTCTACCTGTGATGATGCAGGGAATCGATCAAAGTTTGTGACGCTAATGTTCTCTGTGATCAGTCTTGTCGTAGATTTCCGGTCCAACGCTTCACCGGCTTGGATTCTGACCTGCCAATCGCCGAAGTCTGCCCATCGTGCGAAGATGCCGTCTGCCTCATCATCTGCGTCAATGGTGGTGGAGGTCGCCCGGCTGAAAAAGTACCTCATCTTCAAAGTGTTGATAAGATAAAGAAAGAAAACATGTAAAAATGGTGTTCCTCATCTTCAAAGGCTTTCCGAGAAAACCTCCAGAAGATGGGTCCATGCATGTGCGTCCACATGACGTAAAGGAGTAGCGAGAACAGGGGCTGAAAACAAAAGCGGTCTGAGGAAATCACGCTTTCCCACGATGCTTCAGTATTGAGGAACTCTCCAGAAAGACCTGGTGTCACCGATACTGATCGAACACAACAAGCTGGGAACTGTTGGCTCCCTTGATGAGATTCTTTCTACCATTCCAGCAGTGTGGCTTTCAAGCAGCTTCCCCACCTCGAATTCAGTTTCTCTACCACTCTGCTTCCTGGTTGCGACAACCTTGGGACCAACATCACAATGGCATGTCTTTCCAGGAGGCCAGTCGATGAAAAAGAACAAACGAACATGAGCCACGTCACAGGAGCACCCTCAGAAGCCGAACCTTAGTTGTGACTTGATTCATTGTGCATACCAACAGTATTACTGTAATTCTCTGCGTTCTGGAAGAGAAAGATGCTTGGAACCTACGCCGCTTTTGATGCTTGGGAGCTGATGTTGCCACATATCGCTCCAATCTTAACAATTGCAGTGCCAGGGTCGGGTCGGGAACTTGCAAGGCCATGAGTGGAGAAAACGCTCTAGCCAAGAGGCTGGTCACTGCCACAAAGTGCTTGTTATGCCCCTGGATCCGAACAATGTCCCGATGCTTCACGGGACGCCTGACGAGAACATGGAAACATATCTCCCAGACATGTGGAGGCAAACAAGGCACAAATAACAAGTCTCACATGGCCTCGAAGAGGTCTGCTTATCCTCTGTGAGCCACTTTTTTCAAGCACATGCTTCATGTCTTGGCATCTCCATGTCTCATCAGTTCCTTTCATCGATTATCTATAGGTCTAACTAGTGGCCGAGGCTCTTTGCAGGGCCAGGCTTCGTGGAATATGAAGGCCTAGCTAAGAGAACTGGAAGCTTCGTCCAGCATACAAGAAGAGCCAACAAGAGTTCTTCAAGGAAAGTGAGGCTTGATGCGCAGCAATCTTGAGTTCTCCGTTCTAAAGTCATCTTGTTCAAATATGTTCAAATCAAATCTACGCAGCCCAAGTGAATAATGCTCCAACCTGCCACTGCCCTTTGTCGGCCCACGAACAATCCACCTGCAGATGGTCAACAGAGACAAAAAGGCGCCCCTGAAAGCCAAAGAAGAAAGATGCTCCTGATGGGCTGATACCCAGTCATCTTGTGACATCCACATCGTCATCTGTTTGAAACAATTTTGTGCCTGGCGTCCCTGCACATCCATGTACATACCGTGAAAGACTCGGAGGTAGACTGTGTCACCTAAGAAGTGCTTCGACTAGGAAAACAAAGAGTGCAAGTGGTTCAACCGTTCGCTGGGCTTCCATATCACTGAGCTGCCTTCTGCGTTGACTCTTCAGTGCAAACTGAGAGACCATAGTAAACTACAGGATCTTCTGGAGACGGATGTAGAATATCCTGTCGCTCGAAGGTCGCAAAAGGTCGACTGAAGGTCGCGACTCACGAGTCTTGGGCGTGTTCTCCGCAATTCTCCTCGAGGGGATCCTCGCCGGTGTGATCCCAAGGTGGAAGGGCCAGTGCTGGGCGGTTCAAAAGGCCCTGCTCGTAGGCCAACTGGAAATTCCACTCCTGGAAGTGGATAGGCGTCACGCGGAAAACAATATCGTGGCCATCGGGGTTATGGGAGTCGTGTCCAATTATATATGTAATGACCATCTTTGAACGCAAAATTTGTTGAAGTGTCACAGGAAAATTGATTTGACAATTTTGAAAACAAATGCAGTTTTTGCAAGACTTAAAAGAGCGCCGATGCGTTCAGCTCACACTTCCAGCGGCGCCGGTTTGGGGCCTTGTCTTCGGGATCCTCCTTCCAATTCCAAAAGAAGGAGCCATGGGAGGAATTCCTGACAACAAGAAACGCGTTCCTTTTTTATCCCTACAATCTTTGGGTACTGGACCTATCTACATGTTTCGTTGCTTTTGTCTTTTGTTATCTGTTCCCGCTTGTCTGAAACCTTTAAACTGTTCCTGTCTGTTTTTGTCCTTTGTGCGTTTGCTTCGTTTTTTCTGATGACACTTAGCAAAACTATGGAAAACGGAACCCAACTGCTTCCAAAACGACACGGGCCATGGTAGTGCTGACCATGCACCCTTAGGCCTTGGACATCATTACCCCAGTTTTGAAGCAAGAATGTGTCTGTTTCTTTGTCGTTTTTTCCGTTCTGTTCTTGCCCATTTTTTGCGAACGCCCGTGAAAAGGGAGGGCACAGTAGCTAGAAGGCTTACCTAGCTACTACAGACGTGCCCGGAAACGTGATTGATTTGTTTTCTAGAAAGCTACAGAAGCCCAAGAATGCCAGATTTTTCGGGATCTAAAAAACAAATCAGGCAGTGGCACACCGTTTCCGGTCTTTCCCGAGCACCGCCACCTTGCTCAGGCAACTTGATCCAAAGTCCCGAACCACTGCATACATTAGGTGTTTTGCAATGTTCTTCGCCAATTCTACGGTTCAAGGATTGGCCAACACCTCCAAGATAGGTTCCCGGTTGGAGCCAGGTTTCACGTCTGGTGTGTTCCGAAGAGGTTCCGGCGCATGGTCTCCAAAGGTCTTGTAGGTGACACAACATGCACTGAATACTTGCCACACTTGCCCTGAGAAAGGCGCACCTTGTATGGTTTCACCAGAAGCGTTCGGAGGCCCAGCAAAACCAGCTTTAGGCAGTTGACCGACCCTACACGTTCGCGAAAGTTCTATGGCGCTTGATGTTCTAGACGTTCGCGAAAGTTCTACAGTACTTGAAGTTTACGGTTGGGTAGCTCAAGTCTTCAAAGTTCAGTTTGCGAACGTTAAGTTCTTGCACTCGCCTGAACTTTGTTGAGCATCCTTCGTGAACTATCTGAACCGCCGACGCATAAGCTTTACTAGGCGCGTCTGCCTCGCATGCGGGTCGAGCGGTCGCACCTTGGTGATTCGACAAGCAAGGTTACTTTAAGGAGATGCGGACAGCTCAGCCATGCTCAGTCTGTCACTCAATGTCAACTTGACGAACATCCGAGACAGCAGCTTTTCAAGCCACTGCAGCTCTGACTCCTACCCCTTTTGGCTTGTCAAGGTGTGGCAAATGCACTGGTGGGTCTGTCCTTGCCTACAGGACCGAAGAAACACTTTCTGGGTCTGACAACGCCTCTTGCTCAGTAACTTGAAGAAAGGTTTCGATTGACTGGAACATTAGGAGCCCAGAACATCAACGCCTCAGCCGTCAGGCGCTCTTTTTCCATCGAAGCGCTCCCATTGCCTTTCTCAAATTTAGGTCATGACCTTTGCAGCCCACAGCCCTCCAAAGCAGGTCGCTCTTTTCAGGCCTTGGGTGTTCAAGAGTTGTTGCCGCGCCTTCATACGCTAGCTGCTAGACTTAGAATCATCGAGCGAGAACAAAACTCTTCCAGGATAACGCCCTATTTCATTAGTCCTCACTCTCTGATAATCTAGCGTTAGCCAAGTCTCCATCCTACGGAAACTGTTGGCTCGAAAGCCGGCCCGCTTTGTTTTCTTCGCAGGTTTGTTGACATGAGCGCTCTTAGTGGAACTTCGTCCTTCAAAAGGGCCACCATTGTTGGCCACCTCAAAACATGTCTACACGTCTTGCGCCTCTTCGCTTCCCCTGATTCGTTTAGATGAAGGGGCGCTGTGGGCATGCTGAGGAGTTGAAGCAAAACGCTGCTTTCCAACTTTTGGCTAGAACCAAAGGTCATGGCAAAGCCCTTAAAATTGATGCACTGAAGCTGTGAAGTACCTTGGCTGGATGTGGCAGCAACATCGGAATAGTCAAAGAAGGGGTCAAGGCGATTCAGCTTAGCGCAGGCTTTCCGCATGAATTGTGGCCGAGACGCATCAAGCGCGCAATGTAACCACTTTGAAGCGTTTTTATCCAAAGGCGAAGAACATGACCATAACAAACAAAGCGCGCTCTCCTTCTGAGCCCATTGCAAAGTCACTCCATGATCAAGAACCCAGTAGTCAACGGCGTAGTGATGCCCTAACTTGCATATGGGCCGGCTTGTGGGCAAGTGAGTCAACATGCGGTTCAAGGAAAAAGCTTTTTTTTGAATGCCCCCACTCACCCCTTTCAGGGACAACCTCTGCCTCCTGCCTCAACGTAATCAGGACGCACACCTACTTGGCCTTGGATTGAAGATCGCTCCGCAACCATTCTTTTACAGCCTCCCCAGCCGGTTCAAGAAGGCACTGTCCCAGGATTCCTGAGAATTGGCTTCTCCAAGTCAGGCTTCAGAACATCGAGTCTTTTGTCTTTCGCGTCTTTCTCCATAGGGCTGGCGCCTGATGAACTTGATCACACGTTTGGCATGGACATGGCATGGACCAACAGAATTTGCATATGGTCAACTACTCTGTCTGCAAAAGCCTTAGCACTCAGGGCCGAAGAGACTATGACTATGAGATCATGCAACCGATCCTGCTCAACCAGTGCGGAATCTGATCCAGCATCCAAGTCCATGCCTTCTGGCTTACCACAAATATGTGACAGCAAGTCAGCTCCAAGAATGCGGGTTCGCGACGCTTGAGGAATAGGCCTAGGGTTAAAGGATCGAGTGCTGCGCGCCTTTTTCAGGCAACTTGAGCCAAAGTCCCGAATCAATGCATACTGAATGGCGACACCTGCAGGATAGGTTCGTGGTTGGAGCGAGAAGGTTTCACCGCCGGTGTTCCGAAGAGGTTCCGCTGCAAGATCTCCACAGCTCTTGTAGGTGACACAACACACTTTGAAGTCTGGATCCCTGGGTGCACGAACCCTGGATGTCTTTCTTGTGAACTTAACAAGATGTCCTCTCTCTGTCCTTCCCTTCCTTTAAGCATCGAAGCAACTGAAATAAGTGACTTGGCGCGATCTGCCTGAAAGCTTCCATCTGCTGGGCACCAAAAATGCTGATCACTGTGTCCTGTCCCAGTGCATCAAACGGAAAATCACATGAGCGGTTTCGCAGGTGGTGTCCTCATCCATGTCGCCGCAGGTACACCAGGTGGCTCGGCCCAAGCCAAGTGCCCACTCTCCTTCAAAAATGACAACTTCACTCGCCCTTCTTCACTTTTCCTTGTCGAGGCTTTTCATTACCTATCCTTATCTGCTTCGTTCTTTCCTTTCGGAGCCTAAGGGCTTCAGCCTTCCCCGTTTAGTAACTTGTAACCTGGACTGACTTGGACGGGCTGTCGCCTGCCACCATCGGGTAGCGCTGGAACATCTTGCTGTTCTCCTTTGGGAGCAGCCAGAGCAGCTCAAAAAAAGACTTACTCCCAAAACGAAAGGCTTGGGGGTGCAAAGAAGTGGCAAGTCCTCAACAGCCCTGAGCTGTTCAGCAAAAGTTTTTCCATGGAACTGGTTTTCAAAGCCTCAGAGCTTGCAAGAGCAACCCTTGAATCAAAGTTGCTGGTCTTGGCATGCTTTGGCAACCTCAAAATTCAATATGAGCTGGAGATGTCTTGTTCAGCTGCTCAGTGGCAGTTGCAATTCCCTGGGAATCTACAACTCTACAGTTGCAACACCAGGGTCACACAACTGATTGCTGCCACATCCTCCAGAATCCTAGACCCAAAAAAATCCACATACAAAATAGTAGACGAAGGGCTTGACAATGTTTTCCCACAACCTGACAACCAGAACTTGCACGCAATTGCTGCCAAGCTGCAGTGGTAGCAATGAACATCAAAGCAAACGTTACGGTGCCTTCCTTGAGTTGTCTTGGCCCACTTCGCAATGAAGGCTTCTTCACCTGTAGCATCTCTAGACATATCAGCATGACTTCATGGGAGGACACAGGATAGAGCCTAAATCAGTGCGGATCTTTCTTTAGTAAGTCAAACACTTTCTTACTTCCCCTTTACTAGCAGACCGTAGGAAATGAAGGTTTCTACCAACCCCGGGACCAACCCCTTGGTTCCAAGATACTGCTTCTTTCACCTTCTTTCAAAAACTGTGAAACAACTCACCTTGAGTCTTGGACTCTACGAGTACTATTTGTGCTGATTAAAAGGCCTTATATTTAAAAATATATACATATATTATCGTATACATAAAGAATGTTGATAGAATTTGGTTATTTGTGTAAAGGTCTTCTTGGAAATGACTCCTTCCCGACCATTGACCTGTTACATAAAGTTCCGAACCCAATGTCCGCCTTCCGGGCGCTGGAAGATCGGAAGCACCACCGCCACGCGGCTCTCATGCATGCCAGCCTGCCCCGGCTAGCTAAGCTTGGACGCGCCTCTGACACACGAAGCGACAAAAGACTCGCCTCCAACCTACTAGCACTGCCCTCCTGGCAATGGCCTCCAACCTACTAGCAATGGCCTACAACCAAATATGGTCGTAGTCACACACCGAGCCTTACGAATGGTATCGACTGCACGGGAGTAGTACCTGAAACATGCTTCGGTGACTCGGATTCAGAAGAACTCCGTCATTCTTGCGTCACGGTCCCTGGGGTCTTGAAATGTCTTGAATGTAAATAGCCGTGATTTGAAAAACAGGAATCAGAACTGTTTCGTCCAAGTTACTTCCTTGCTGCTAGCTGGCTCTCACTAGCCACTTCTTACCCCACCCGATGGTCTTCCCCCAAAAGAAAGACAAGCAAAGAAGATAGATTCAATTAGATTCAACAAAATCCACCGAACCAAGGTGGGGCCTGTCACGGTGCGAATTTCCTCCGCACGCCTTTTTCCAAGACTTGATGCTGGAACGTCAGTCCGGCACAACAGAGTGTCTGGTCGTGGGGGGGATGATCTGAACGAAAGTTGCTGGCCATGCCATGCACTGCCACGCATGCCACATGAGCCGAGTTTGCCAAGAAGACAACTTCACGTCAATTAGAGAACAAATACGCTTGGGATCTTTTAACCAACTATCTTGTTCGCGTGCTTGAGATGTCCTTTCAGTGGAAGGATTTCCAAACATTGGCCTTCTTGTCGAACCCTGTGGCAAACCGCGTGACCAGGGGACAAACAGCCCCTTTCGTGACATCCAAAGACTATAAAGCAGATGCATTCATATTGCGCTGAACTACCAGCAGGGGTGTTGGAGGAGGTCTGATGTGGTACAGCATCTCGCGTAGCACACGGGGTCTCAATGTCAGCGTATCAGGTGTCTCAGCTAGGCAGGGGTCCCCAGCAACTCCAGAGAAAGCAAACACAAACAGCATCAGACCTCTTCATTGAAATGTTCATTCAATGTGCAAATGCCTTATTTCCAACTTGAAGCGAATGGAGCCGCACGGTTGTCATGCGGTTCTTCTGCGGCGAGGTATACAGAACCCCACTCGGCGAACCACGACGACCAAATTTTCTCCGTTCAGCTTAGGAAGGGCAAGAAAAAGAGAAAAAGACCAAGCAGGGAAAGAAAACATCGCCTTCCAGGGCTCACTGCTCCCTCCAAAAGATCTTGCAAAGCCTTCAAAGGTGGATGTCATCTCAAAGATAAAACGAGTTCCAGTGTTCTTCCAAGTTAGTCAAACCAAATACAATAAATATGAATAAGTTGAGAGGTAGTCCCACCAGGTTCGCAACCTACCCCAATATTGGACTCATTTGCAATATGTCTGTCCAATGAAAACTGATCTCAACTCCTGTTCCAGTTGACGTTCATCTTGAAGAAACATACAATTGAAGCTCGTACCAAAATAAGAACTTCCTCGCGGCCTTTTTCCAAGACTTGATGCTGGAACGTCAGTCCGGCTCAACAGTGTGTCTGGTCGTGGCGGGGGATGATCTGAATGAAAGTTGCGGGCCATGCCATGCACTGCCACGCATGCCACATGAGCCGAGTTTGCCAAGAAGACAACTTCACGTCAATTAGAGAACAAATACATTTGGGATCTTTTAACCAACTATCTTGTTCGCGTGCTTGAGATGTCCTTTCAGTGGAAGGATTTCCAAACATTGGCCTTCTTGTCGAACCCTGTGGCAAACCGCGTGACCAGGGGACAAACAGCCCCTTTCGTGACATCCAAAGACTATAAAGCAGATGCATTCATATTGCGCTGAACTACCAGCAGGGGTGTTGGAGGAGGTCTGATGTGGTAGAGCATCTCGCGTAGCACACGGGGTCTCAATGTCAGCGTATCAGGTGTCTCAGCTAGGCAGGGGTCCCCAGCAACCCCAGAGAAAGCAAACACAAACAGCATCAGACCTCTTCATTGAAATGTTCATTCAATGTGCAAATGCCTTATTTCCAACTTGAAGCGAATGGAGCCGCACGGTTGTCATGCGGTTCTTCTGCGGCGAGGTATACAGAACCCCACTCGGCGAACCACGACGACCAAATTTTCTCCGTTCAGCTTAGGAAGGGCAAGAAAAAGAGAGAAAGACCAAGCAGGGAAAGAAAACATCGCCTTCCAGGGCTCACTGCTCCCTCCAAAAGATCTTGCAAAGCCTTCAAAGGTGGATGTCATCTCAAAGATAAAACGAGTTCCAGTGTTCTTCCAAATTAGTCAAACCAAATACAATAAATATGAATAAGTTGAGAGGTAGTCCCACCAAGTTCGCAACCTACCCCAATATTGGACTCATTTGCAGCATCCTTCAACATTACGATGGACCCTGCGTGACATGAACCGTCAAAAGCGGTTCCCTTTTCTTCTGCACTCGTCAAGCGGGAGTCGGCCCATAATCATGCTTTCAAACCACAACATGTCCTTTAATGGTATATGAGCATCGGTTGCTTCACAAAAACAAGAAAAAACATGAGGAATCCAAGTTTTTCCCCTAACAGTGTGGACACACTAGGGGTTCTTGCAGTAGTGGTCAAGCACCGGTGTCTAATCGAGGTGTTGCACGGGCGTGTCCGGCTAGTTCGCTGCTATTTACAATGCATTCATGCCTCTCAAAATCCTCGAAGTGCACTTCGACTGCACAGGCTCGCAAAATTTGCGAGGGGGCGGTGGGTGCTTGTCGGGACTGCGCTCTCGTTGTGGTGTCGCGCGCATGTTCGGACACGATGGTCATTTTTTGTGGCAAGCGCAAGGGAAACCTCGTGCTTTGGTGGTGGCCGGTGCAGCACTTCGGACATGGTGGCGATCTTCGACGCGCTCTAATTTCGTGACAGGTGCAGTGAATCGTGACTTTGGACACGTGGCTCGTTTGCACGTGGCAAGCGCAGTACTTTGTGGACCTTGAAGTGTAGATTTGTGAGTCAAAATGTGAGCCACAAGGCCGTTTAAGTGATTTTATTTTTTCTGATATTTTGATGTTTTTTAATGGTTTCATTTATGTTTTCATTTATGTTTTTAATGTTTCTTAATAAAGCACACTGTTTTTCATCAAATGTCCTTGATGCTTAAATGTCATTGCCTCTTCAGGGCTTCTGTTTCTGTCCTATGGTTCTTGCATTAAAACAATTGGTTTGCAAAGCATTGGTTTCCAGCCAAGTATATAAATTAAAAAACTCACTCTGCAAAAGAAACTATGCAAACCCTCTCCCAGCAGTCAAAATTTGCCTGCAGTGCGAATACAGGCCCTGGATATATGTCAATCACGCTAACCTAGCTTTGCGTCCTATGTGAATGGTGTGGGTACGACCCGTAAAGCGTGAGGCAAGGCTCGGGCTTTAGGCTCTAGCAACGCAAACCAACTCACTTTTGACTGCGTCGTAAAAAGCCAGACTTCTGCCTAGACGTAGAAATGACCGCTCCCAGTAAAACCAGCAGGCAGGCACTGAAACCAACAAGCAAGGCACTGACCATGACCAGGAACACGACTAAGCTTCTCTCTGCCGCGCGTGCACACATGGCAAAATTCATAACGGCCCCTTCCTCAGCGTCACAGGGCCGGCCACAGGCCGGGCAGACCTGGCCAGCTCTAGATGACCTCCTCTACACTTTGGACGCAGCAGCTCTCGAGGGGCCACTGCGCAACCTACAGACCTCGCCGCTACCTTCCCAGCCACCGCGCCGCGTCCTACCCACACCTGCGGAGGCGCACCGCGCGGAATCATTAAAAAAAGCATTAAAAAAAATCATAAATGGAAACATATTGAAAACATAAAAAAAACATAAAAAAATATCGAAAATGTGCCTGTTTCGGAGATTTTAATTTTTCCCGAATGCGTAGCGAAGGGTTCCCGTTTATAGTTGGGGGTCTGGGGGTTGGAGCTGTGTTCGCGTGGCTTGCGTCGCGTCGTCGTCTCTCGTCGTTTGTCGTCGTCGTCGCGTCTCAAATTTGCTGCCATTGGGGGGGAAGCTTTTGCAAGTGACTTTTCATGGATGTGTCACGTGCCAGTTTGCGGCGCTATTCCATTGTGATTTGCATGACACCGACATGTCGCGCAAGAAACGTGATGCATTTCGCTGCACAGGCGCAGCGTTTTGTGAGATCCGCAGTTTGCTGCGCAGTGCTATTGGGATTAGCGTTTTTGGGGTGTTGGATGTGGCCGTGCCATTGGGAGTTGCGTTTCAGGGTGTGGCATCGAAGCTCTGTTTTCGTGACACGTCTCAGCTGAAATGCCGATTTTGGACCCTGGGAGTCCAAACGTGTGGTGTGGTGCAAATTTTGTTGAAGCTCACATGCGATGATATTGTCACTTTTCGTGGTAGGCGCAGGACTTCGTGCGGGTTTTGAGGCGTGGAAGTGCGATTCTCGTGGCAGGCGCGGGGAATCGTGAGGTTGCGAGGTGTGAGGGAGGTGACATTTCGTGGCAGGCGCAGTACTTTGTGCGCGTTAGACGTGCGGATGGGGAAAGATTCGTGGCAGGCGCAGGGAATCGTGAGGTTGTGAGTTGTGGTAGAGGTGAATGTCGCTGTCACATTGGGATTGGCGTGTGAGCGGATGTTGTTTGGAGGGGCTGGAATCGCGAAACTGCTTGGCAGGGCTGCGTGATGTGTGTGCTCCGATCGGTGTTTCCGCTTGACTTTTGGAGAAAGTCTCGTACGAAACGCTGGTTTTGCAGACTTTGACGTGTGAGTTTTTGAGGAAGTCTCGTACGAAACGCTCGTTTTGGAGACTTGACGCGCAACCCTCTGCGGAGATCGTGCGTGTCGAGTGCACCAAATGCAGGCGAGAGTGCGATTTGTCCCATGCGCGCGCAACCCTCTGCGGAGATCGTGCGTGTCGAGTGCGCGAAATGCAGGCGAGAGTGCGATTTGTCCCATGCGCGCGCAACCCTCTGCGGAGATCGTGCGTGTTGAGTGCGCGAAATGCAGGCGAGAGTGCGATTTGTCCGGTGGAGCTGGAAGCTGAGAACTGGCGACCTTGTAGTACAACTGTAGTACGTGGAGTATCTGGGGAGCTGGAAGCTGAGAACTGGCGACCTTGTAGTACAACTTTAGTACGCGGAGTATCTGCGGAGCTGGAAGAGAGTCCCACAAGAGTGTCCCGCAACAGTGTCCCACTGGAGTGTCTCAAAAGAGTGTCCCTTAAGACTGTCCTACA